GTCCTTAAGCTAATGCCTGTTTTTGTATTCGACACATGAAACTGTAAACAACGTATTATTACAAGTCCCCTGTATGATACAACAACAACATCCCAGTTGAATCCCACTACATTAGGGTCTAGGGAGGGTGTGTGTACGCAGACCTTGCCCCTACTCGGAAGTAGGGAGGCTATTTCCAAGAGACCCCCGGCTCCAACTGCACAAAAAATATGATAAGAATCACAGTATAACACAGATAAAACACCAAGTACAATGGAATGAAAGTCCTGCAAGCAATAGCAGAAATTCCCAACCAAACAAAACACACTATAAAAAAACCCTGAAACACTTATCCAGCTACTCTAATCCTAGTTCTCCAAAGGTTACTATCTAAAGTCATATCCTGCCTAAATCCTGCCTAATCACCTCCTTCTAATTCTTCCTAGGTCTACCCCTTCTCCTACTTCCCCCGGCAACCGTAATCCTCTTACATCTCCGTACAGGGGCATCAGCATTCTGCCGCCTCACATGACCAAATCATCTCAACATCGCTTCCCACAGCTTATCTTCCACTGACGCCATGCCTAACTAATGTCGGATAACTTTGTTCGAAATCCTATCCAACCTTGTCTTCCCACACATCCATCGTAACATCCGCATCTCTGCCGCATGCAGACGACGCACATGAGTCTTCTTAACTGTCCAACACTCTGGCCCATATAACATAGCAGGTCTGACTACGGACTGGTAGAACTTACCTTTAAGCCTGAGCGAAATCTTCAGATCACACAACAGCCCTGAAGCCAACCGCCATTTGGCCCAAGCCACTTCAACACGATGTCTAACATCCTTTTACAATATCATTAAAATTCTTTGATTGGTTTAGAACCGTCGTTGTTTGAGCCTGTAACACCAAAGAAAGCATATCAAATATACAAATCTTGGGAATAAACTACTTCTAGCATTATAGTAGGATGGTTGTGATAACCCCGCGTAAATTGACCACACCATGCATTCAAACAATTACGCCACGCTCAATGTGCATAGTTAATGTTGTCTAGCATACTAGGGAGTCTATGACTTGCTTCATGGGTGGCATATAGTTTCAATATGTCGCTTTGAGTGGGTTTTCGTAAATATGGTTTGATGTAGATCTTTATCACCCACTTCGAGAACTTACACAAGCACTCCGTAGGCATTCTCTGCAATATCATCAGGTGCTCATCGAGCGGGGGGCAGTGCCATATTGTAGTTTCCGGATCACCACGGTGCACTTTTGTAGACTAGAAAAACCTATCCTATATCTGGCATCCGAGTGTAGTTAAAATTAGATCCGCACGTGCTAAATCATCAGCAACACGAAGAAAAAGAAGGTGACTCATGCAAAATCGATGTTTGAATTGTGTGTAGGGGTACATCAATTTTTTTGTCAAAGTAATCGGCAACAAAACGGTCGTGACCACCAACAGTGAACATAATAATTATTGAAAAAAACCTATAAACATACTCCGTAATATTTAAAATTATTATACCGTTCAATCTCTATTCGACATTCTATTCCTCTTCGTCGCTGCGTGCGTGTTTTCATTTTGGGCTGCCTCTGAGAGAATTTGTGCCGCCTCCACAATCACATTTACGAATAGAGTTTTGGCTTCGTTTGAAGAAGAAGAAGTCATCGTGATTGTATAAAAAGAGTATGACAATATATGAAAAATACTAGGAGAAAGATGAAAAAAATGAATGATAAATAATGTTTGAAGACCAAGAAGAGATTTGAAAAAAGTGTGAAAGAAGTTGGATAGAGATGGTTCAAATAGAATAAAATAGGAAAAATAAAAGAAGATTTTTTTGAAATACGATAATTGACAAAAAAAACAAACAGAAAGAACGATGTGACCGTCTTCTCTATCCCGCGTTCTAGTCCGCTCAGCGGGGCGTTATTGCTAGCCTCGCGGGCACGACCCTGCTCGCTGGATACACACCCACCCACCGCATGGGTGGAGGGGTGTGGCACAATTATTTGAGCAAGAGAAAGAGAGGATGATAAGAGATAGGGTAATGCTAGTGGTACACCAACATGGGGTACCCCAAGTATACACCAAGCCAACACAGATACACACAGACAAAGTGTCTGAGACACTTTGTGTCTGTGTTAGCTTTGGTGTACACTTGGGGTACCCCATGTTGGTGTACCCCTAGCCTAATTCTAAGAGATAACACCCTTGTACAAAGCTTGACATCTCGTTTTATCTTCTTTTCTATAGCCCAATGACATATGAAAATAGCCCAAGACTAGCAGTCAACGGAGAAGCACAAAGCGAGCAGCAATCACAATTCTCAACCCAGGCGGTGCCACTTCACTCGGAAGAAAAAATGTCTGTTTCTCCGATCCGAATCGGAATCGTTGGATGTGCAGAAATCGCCCGGAAACTATCCCGGGCCATCAACCTTTCTCATACCGCCACCCTTCACGCCGTCGGCAGTCGCAGGCTCGAAAAAGCGGAGAAATTCGCCGCCGATAATGGTTTCCCGGAATCCGCTAAGATCTACGGCAGCTACGAAGCCGTTCTCGACGATCCCGACGTAGACGCCGTCTATCTTCCCCTTCCCACGAGTCTGCACGCCAAGTGGGCCGTCCTGGCCGCCCAGAAGAAGAAACACCTGCTGCTGGAGAAGCCGGTGGCGCTGAATGCCGAGGAGTTCGATGCAATCATGGAGGCGTGCGAATCCAATGGGATGCAGTTTATGGACTCTACCATGTGGATGCACCACCCTCGCACTCTTAAGATGAAGGAGTTCCTCTCAAATCCAGACTTGTTCGGCCAACTCAAATCGGTACGCTTATCAGTTTTGTTTTGGTGTATGATTTTCAAGTCTCGTTGTTCTTATGAAATATGTATACCAAATTGCTTTGAAATGTCTCCCCAAAGTCATCCAAATTGCATGTGTTCTGGATTTTTCATCCCATTTTGCAGAAAATTTTTGGCATTTCAATTAGGGTTAGTTTAATTGGGGAACATATCACTCTCAGGTGCATAGCTGTTTCACATATGCTGCTAATCCCGAGTTCCTTGAAAACGACATCCGCGTGAAGCCGGATCTTGATGCCCTGGGTGCACTTGGGGATGAAGGGTGGTACTGTATCAGGTCAATTTTGTGGGCAGTTGATTTCCAGCTACCGAAATCCGTGGTTGCTCTGAGGAACCCAGTCTTCAACAGTGCAGGAGTCATCATGGCCTGTGGCGCCTCTCTGTTTTGGGAAGATGGGAAAGTGGCAACTTTCGAGTGTTCCTTTTTAAGTAACTTGACAATGGATGTCACTGCCATTGGCACCAATGGAACCCTCCATCTCCACGACTTTGTCATCCCTCACCATGAGAAAACCGCGTCATATCTCACCGGGACGAAATCTGGGTTCACCGAGTTTGTGACAGCATGGGATCCAAAGCCCAGCACACACATTGTCAACACCCATCTTCCCCAGGAAGTTCTCATGGTGGAGGAGTTTTCCAGGTTGGTCGCAGGCATTAAGAACAACGGTTCAAAACCAGAACAAAAGTGGCCAACCTTTAGCAAGAAGACTCAGCTGGTTATAGATGCTGTCAAGGCATCGATTGAGAAAGGTTTCGAGGCTGTAGAGGTTATGAGTTGAGTAAGTTTAATGTGTGTAATGCTCTACTCTTCTTGAATAAGCAGTCCACTGCCCTGTATCTGTATCCAGTGTTTTGTGGTTTATAAATAAACGGCGCCCTGTTTTCTTGTACTCTGTATATTTTAAGTGAAAGTATGATCGACTTGCTTCAAGTAACTCCCAGTCCTATCAGTCTAGTATGTGTTCAATCATATAATATCAAACCTCTTAAGTGGGAGATGTGGCTCGAACACCATGGGATGAGAAAAAAATTGACTTGCTATTTTTTAAGGAGAAATATAAAAGTTTATAAAAATGCATGCCGTGCCACATTATCACAGTGCAAACTCTTATTTAGATAATAAAAACATGAAACTCCTATTTTGATACTTTTTTTATGTTTTATTCTTATTTAAAGCAATTTCTTATTTTCTAACATGCGTTCATCAGTTGAGCAATCTTTTTTTTTATACAAACCACATCCAAGTAATTTTATCTTATTAAAAGTTATGTCACGCAAATTGAGAAAAAAGTTTTTATTATAAGACAGAAGAGAAAATAGAGTATGAAATATTTATGTTTAGAGAAATACTAGAGTAACAAATAAAACATCACCAAATTTACAGATTGACTCTTTATGAACCTCACTAAACAAGCAAAATTGTTTTAAATAAAATTTGTGTTTATCTTTGTTGTGATTCTAAAAATTTTCTTGTGTTTTTTTTTTTGTAAAATTTTAACACAAAATGCACACCAAGGCCATCACACACACTCAAACATTTAATGTCGGTGTGTACAGACATTAAATGTCTGATCGTGTCTCTATTAGCTTTGGTGTGCAATTAGAAAAATGCTAGGGGTACGTGTATCCCATTTGTCCCCACCCTCTCTTTGTCCACAAAAAAAGGCAAGAAATTTTAAAAAATAAATAAATAAAAATAAAATAAAAATGGGTGGTGGAGAAGTATTGATGTACATTTGGGGTATACCAAATTGTGTACCCCTAGCATTGCTCGTGCAATTAGTACTCCTTCCGTTCTAAAACTTTCTTTCCAGAACACTATTCCAAATTCACGGGAATTTATATTTATTTGTGTTTTTTCATGGCCTATATGATAAAATAAAATATTCTTGTCACCACTTGTTTTGTTAAACTTTTGATGTAGTTTTTAAATATGCATGTTTTATTTTTATTTCTATACCAATATTTAAATAAAATAAATTGAAAAAATTTAGGATTTTTCTTCATTTTGCGCAACGAGAAAAAAGATATAGGACGGAAAGAGTATCAAAATCTTGTAGTCTCTTAGCATTTTAGTTTTTTTTTAAGGAGAATGGCATTGTTGGAACTTGAACAAATAGTGAGACCAAACACCAAATACGGAGTCGTATAATGCCGATCAGACTGATCTGAGCAGTAAACCATATACGCCCAAAAGCCTGGGAATTTCAAGCCCCTTTCATCTTCGCCCATCCCATATACGATTGAAACCCTAACATTTTCTTTTAATTTCACGCGTTTCTACTGCCTTTCATCCACGGATTCGATTTAATCAAACCGAAATTTAACAGCTTTTGTTAGAATTAGCATCGGCAGATCTACGATCGATGGCGAAGGAATTCAAAGCACCGCCGGTTGTATTCCCGTCCGGGGGAACACCCGGCACACAGCAACGTCGTCCGCCGACGGCGCCGTTTCAGCCGCCCATCTCTTCGAACCCCAACTTGCCGTTCATGTCCTTCGACATCGGTTCCGCTGCCGCGTCCACCTCGTTCTCCACCCCTCAGTTCGCATCAACCACCATCGGCGGCGGATCCAATGGATTCGAGGACGAGCCGCCGCTCCTCGAGGAGCTCGGGATCAACACCAAGCAAATTTACCAGAAAACTCTGTCGATTCTCAACCCTTTCCGAGTCAAGGCAGATCTTCACGAAGATGCCGATCTTTCCGGTCCGTTTCTGTTCCTGATCGCGTTCGGGCTATTCCAATTGCTTGCAGGGAAGTTCCATTTTGGAATCATCCTGGGATGGGTGGTCATGGCTTCTGTTTTCCTGTATGTGGTGTTCAACATGCTCGCCGGACGAAATGGGTCCTTGGATCTGTACAGATGTGTCAGCTTAGTGGGCTATTGTATGCTGCCCATTGTGATATTGTCAGCAGTATCCTTGTTCTTGCCCGGAGGGGTTGCAATTAAGGTTGTTGCCGGTGTCTTTGTCATATGGTCCACCCGTGTTTGCACCCGTCTTGTGGTCGAGCTGGCATTGTATGGGGATGAACACCGTGGGCTGATTGCGTATGCCTGTTTCTTGATATACATGCTTTTCTCTTTGCTTGTGATATTCTGATCCACTATACATGTGGTACTTGGTTGTTGTGTGTTTGGGTGTCTATCTGTCATGAATATGTTATAGTATTCGGTATGGCTTTCAAGTTTCAATGATGCAAAATCCATCTTTCAGTAGGGGTATCATTGGCTGAGATTGAATTTTGGATCATTTGATTTTTCTGAACACTATTGCTGATAATCTAATTCATATTCTCAAACCATTGGTTTAATTCTTGCCTGCAAATTTGTGTTTACCTCTGCTCACAACTTGCATTTAGTGAGCAATCCATTTTTCACAAGTGAGCATATAGTTCCCTATTGAAAAATGGCAGTTGTATAGCATTCATATTTTTACTGTTTTATCATATAATAACTCTTGATTATATGATGAGGTGCCTTATGTTTACATATGTTCTGATCTATCTTCTTTGTATAGTGTTGTCAGATCATTTAGTCATAAAAGTTTACTGCTGTAATACTCAAGTCTTAGACCCCTCTTGTAAGGGTTCTTTGGCTAAAATGGTTGAATTACATGCATTCTCTAATATGAAAACCTACTCATTCCGTTGATCAAATAAGCAGAATAAGGTAAGTTGAATGAGAACGGTTGTTCTTTGAACCATTCTTCCTCTCCATTTGAGCCAACTCCATTGCTAGAAATCACTCTACCATGTATTTTCTCTCTAAGTTCATATTACTTGTCCATTTTACTATTTCGATATCAGAATTACAGGGTTTGATTCAGCCGGTTGAAGTTATACCGAAGACACGATTTAGGCTCATCTCTGCCGGACACAATAATCAGGTCTTGTACAATACTTCCTCGGTCCCAACTCCCATCACTAAAGCCCCGGTTTGACATCACACATTATGACAAATTGTTAAAGTGAAGTTGTCTTTTCAAATTTGCTCCGAATATGATGACTATGATGTGTTGTGGTTAGAATAAAATAGAAAATGTAATATGGGTGAGAAATAAAGAACATGCTCTAAATAAAGTTTTCATTTATTATTCACAAGATCAAATTCTACTTTTTTTTAAATTTTGATTGATTATTTGATAAAAGAAATAATTCTGTCATTACTTTGTTTTGTAGAGTTTTCTTCTTTTTGTTAATCATTTGATAAAATAATGTTGTAATGTTACCATTAGTTTGTAGATCTTTTGATTTGTTTTTAAATATATAATTTTTATTTTTTAATTTTATAATGTTTTTCATATAAAATGATTTGAAAATAATTTCAGTCAAACATCGTAAATCGAGACATGCGATTTAAATTGGGACGGAGGGAGTAGTGTTTAATGTGCAGAGTAATGATAGCATTACACAAACATCTCAAATAAGGTAACTTTGTGATTTTTATTTTACATTTTCCGCAACTAGTTTTGGTAATTTTTGTGTTCATTTGTACGGAGTACTTTATAACAAAAACTTAAGCATTTTGAAATGCTATATAATGACAACGTTTAATTTTAGTATTTTCAAAGCTAATGCGTAACGTTAAAAAATGATCAAAATACAAAATTTTGTTTCCAAACAAAGACAATTGTATTAAAAAAAAGAAAAGACTTTATTTATATATAACGAAGTATACAAATATGACTTTTGATGGTTCATAAATAATTTTATTTGTCTGCAACAATCATATATGGGAATGGGACAAGAACACTCAAATCTTACCAATAAAGGCAAGAAAATAAATGTACTCACAAAAGAATCGTATGTGTGGAGAATCTCATAGAAACAATATTACCTCCGTTTAAAATGTTCATTTAGTTTAATTTTTTTCAAATCAAACCAGACAAACTTTGATCGTAAAAATAAATATTTTTTTTTGTATATTATTACAGAATTAATTTAACATAATAGTTTTAGAAATTTATATGTAAGACAAATTTAATATAATTGATGAATAAAGTTTGTCTAATCTGATTAAAAAAATCAAATCGCACGGAATATTTTAGATCGGAGAAAATACTTAAAATCGACTATTCATTTCGGGGGTTGGATTTGGTTTGGCTTCCGGTCGAAGTGTGCCCGAAATTAGGCCTCCCATTGAACGACTCCGGACCGGTGAGCCTTTGTTTCAGCTGGGACAACAAAGCCTGATTCTCTTGGTTCAGACGTTGAGCCATTCTTCTGAGCCTCTCGTTTTCTTGAATTATTTGATAGTTTTTCCAAATCAATTCGGAGTTTTCTTTATCCATAACTATATATCTTCTTTATTTGTATATACTATATATATATATATCTATATATTCTATGGAGTACTATATACTAACAATCTTGTTATTTATATAGAATAAATAGTGTTGGATTTATATACTTCTGAGTTTTTTTTATGGGCACGAGGATGGTGCTTTGAGATCGGAGCACCCAATAATGATCTACCTAGCTGTTTGTCTCTAATCTCATACAAATCATTAGATGGCAAAGAATTGAAGATGTGTAAAATTGGGTAATGCTTGAGTTCGACTTTTGGCCCCGTTTGACATCAGCATTAGAGGTTAGCGTTAACAATTTGAAAAAGCTATCCGACGGTAGCTTTTAGCATTAATGCATTCAGAATTAATATACACCGTAAAATTTTTATTCAAAATGATAACGCTGATCGAAAATGTTGTTCCCAAACACGGCCAACTACAATAAAGGTTATTGGGGGCAAACCAACTTTTTTATTTGTCAGATAAAGATTATAACTTAATTTATCTTTTCTAGAGAATTACAGTATTTGATTAATCCCGGAAGTGTTTTAAGGATAAGATGATATTCATTTTTTTTGGGGGAAAGGTAGGAAATGCTGGAGAATGTAACTTTATACCTGGGTCTAGCTTGGTGTCTTAAGTGTTGGGTGATCAAAGATTTGCAGTTATGTTCTTTCCCCCACATAGATTTTGCTTTTAAAAATGAAACAGGAAAAAAGTTGGGATACTAGAAGAAAAAAGAGATGTTTCTTGATTGGCAATGAATAACACAAAGATGGCTTTTGTAACAAACCCCGCCAAGATTATGATATATAGCACGAGAAAATTGGCGAGGAATGGATTACAAAATTTGTTTCCCATCCTCAAAGTCCATAATTAGACTTTACAAATTAAAGTTCATAATTTGGCAAAAGAATTGTGGTGAATTATTGCTTTAACAAGATTAAAGTTGAATTATATTTGAGACACGCACCCCAAATTTAAAGTTAAAGGAAAATGTGGACTTCTTCGCACATTATAATGCCAAGTATTAGATTTATAAGGCAACAATCAAAATGCAGAGAAATGTAAAAAGTAAATATAAGCCACAAAAGAAGAATTTCATTTAATAATAGGATAAGATCACATTGATCTACGAAAATTTTATTTGTCAGGCTAAAATTTGACATGTCAAAACGGTGAAAATTTAGTCAAACATGTGTTAATAATTACTTTTTAAAATACATATTCATTTAAAGGTCTGTTTGGGAATAGTGTTAGCTATTACGTTAGCGTTTTGAAAAGGCTAACTCCGAGCAACGTTTAGCATTAGCGTTTTCAAAGTAATCTGCACCGTTAAAATTTTATCCAAAACACTAACACTAATCTCTAACGTTATTCCCAAACAGGCTCGTTCTAAGTATTATACAGATTGTATTTATTTATAGAATTTGTGTGATTTATTAGATTGGGTCAAAATTTCTCTCTTCCTCATTCCATGGCTTTAGATTTAAGTACAAGTGAAGAAGAGAGTGTTACATGATCAGGACATGCACTTATTAAATAAATGGAAATCTTGCTAATGAATATATACAAATTAAAATACACACTTAAATGTATTGCAGAGTCTTTTGAATTAATAATATTAATATCTGTAAGGCCTCATTGGCTAATTTTTGTTTCGGGGACTATTTCATTTGTGTGTGGGGATACATTATTCCTTGTGAAGAGAGCATGATTCCTCTCATCCTGACTTTGTGTTTTCTATTTTGATGCAGTAATGCCGCATTGTTTTTTTTTGTCCTAAAAAAAAATAGTCTTATTAATATTTGTTAGATTAGATATAAAAAAAATAAACCTATAATCATAAACTTAATTTTTTTAGCTAGGTTGAATTGGTTCATTCACAATAACTAATGTATGTATGTATAGTACGAGTGATGAGTAGTAAGTAGTAACGACACTGAATAATTAATTTTATGATAAGGACCCTCTTAGCTTGTACGTTGAAGCATCTTTCACCTTCACACTGGCCATATCTTAAATATTGGAAAACACAAAAAAAGGGCTAATTAACCAAATCCGAGTCCACTTACAAATTATACTCACTCTGTTCCACAAAACCCTTCCGGTTTTGACTTTGGGTGGAAATAAGGAAAGTGTAATTTTGGTTGACTTTCCAATTTTGCCCCTGATATGATGGGAAAAAGTAAGATGTGATACTTTAGTTATTAGTGAAAAAGTATGATGTGATAGGTAGGGTATGAAAAGGTAGGGGTAAAAGTGGTTTTTTAATAGAAAGTGGAAGTGTTTTGTGGAAAGAAAAAAATACTACCTCCGTCCCGTGAAACATTTCCCCTTTCTTTTTTTATCCGTCCCACAAAACACTTCTCATTTCTATTAAAAAGTCACTTTTACCCCTTACTTTTTCATACCCTACTATCACATCATACCTTTTTACTAATAATCTATCCATCAAATCATACTTTTATCCATCACATCAAAGGACATTTTTGGAAATTCAATACCAAAATACACTCTCTTAAATCCCTCCTAAAAAGCAAATGTCCCATGTTTCATGGGACGGAGGTAGTAAGAAAGAGGAAGGGTTTTGTGGAACGGATGGAGTATATCTTGTATTCCCAAAGATGTATTTATACATACATTCAATGAATATTATATGCTTGATCCATCCCTCAAAACATTTCATGTTTTGACTTTAAAGAAGTGAAACTGCAAAAGTTTGACCAAGGTTGAAACGTTGACAATTGAAACGAGTAGGGTTTGGAAAATATCAAAATGGATAGGACATAGATATAGTTAAGTTAGATTTGGTTAGATTTAAGAAAGATAAGGATGATTGAGTGAAATTTGCATTATATAGTACTAAAACATATGTCTTTTTCCAATGTAGTACTTAAACTTTCTTATTTCCTAAATTATACTTGAATAATGTCTAGTGGCGGGAACAGTGTCCAACGATGGTGATATTTAGTTTGAATAATGTCTTGTGGCGGTGGATATTTACTTGAAAAATGACTAGTGAACAATGACTAGTGGAACAACATTGTGAAATAAAAAATATGGTACTACATTGAAAAAGTCACTATATTTTAATTTTCTCTCCGTCCCTGAAAATCTTTCTCCTTTATTTTTTCATCCGTCCCAAAAAACACTTCTCATTTCTATTAAAAAGTCACTTTTACTCCTTAATTTTTCATACCCTAGCTATCGCATCATACCTTTTTACTAATAATCTATCCATCAAATTATACTTTTATCCATCAAATCAAAGGATATTTTTGAAAATTAAATACCAAAATACACTCTCCTTAAATCTCTCTTCAAAATCAAAACTTCCATGTTTTCCGGGACGGAGGGGTACTATTTAAGTAAATTCTCTAATATTTTATGGGATTGAGAAATTGTACGGGACGAAGGCAGCAAATAACATGGTAAGTGTGGATATATACACCAATACTCCATCGATCAGTATAGCAGCACCTATTCGATCGTTCCAAGATTATTATATTATGGAGAAAGCAAATTATAATTCCATCATCATCATCACTATGTTCTTATTATGCCTGATAATTTCAGAGGCCGCTGCAGCAAGTAGTAGTAGTAGTCATTATGTCCTTGTGGAAGAAGGGCCAAAGAAGTTGTTTGTGTTTGGGGATAGCTATGCGGACACCGGCAATTACCCACCCACAAATGCTTCCACCCCGTGGAGGCAACCTTATGGCATCTCCTTCCCCGGCATACCCTCCGGCCGTTGGTCCGATGGCCGGGTTCTCACCGACTACATCGGTATCTACCTCATCTGATCTCTATGAATTTATTCCCTCCGTCCCATATCTTTTTCTTTTCAAGACTTTATTTGATCATTAATATCTCTACGAGTATTTTTTTTATTTACTTTTCAACGCTTTTGTTAAACTGGATCAGCATCGTACTTGGGACTGGAATCCCCGCGACCTTATGCAATGTGGAAGCGGAGCGGGGAAGAAGAAGAAGACGGGGACGGGATGAACTTTGCGTACGGAGGGACGGGGGTGTTCGAGACCCGCGTGGACGGGCCGAAGATGGGGACGCAGATAAAGAGTCTGGGGCAACTCGTGAGCCGGAATGTGTACACCAGACAGGACCTCTCCTCCTCCTTGGCTCTCGTCACCTCCGTTGGGAATGACTACCTTACCTTCCTCCTTGACCACGGCAATTTAAAGGTAAGAGTTCACCCTCTTTGAGGGCCAGGATCGGATGGACACTGTTCTAATGGTGCTCCCTTTGTAAGGTTTCTATCATCGATAAGCTTCCTTATCCAGTCTCGATCCCTACTCATCTCCCTACCCCACGTCAGTTGCAGACTTGCAATATAGCCCTTCTATCCCTGAAAACCTTTCCCCTTTCTTTTTTCATCCGTCCCAAAAAACACTTCTCATTTCTATTAAAAAGTCACTTTTACCCCTAACTTTTTCATACCCTACCTATCATATCATACCTTTTTATTAATAATCTATTCATCAAATCATACTTTTACCCATCACAGGACTTTTTTGGAAATTCAATATCAAAATACACTCCCCTTAAATCCATTTTCAAAATCAAAACTCTCATGTTTTCCAGGACGGAGGGAGTACAAGTTTAGTCTATTTTGGGTGGGCCTGTCGGGGCCCAAACCAGATGCTCAAGCCCGTTCTTATTATATAGCGGGTTGTACCGGCTCAACCCGGATGATTTCACATAGTGGTTCATATCTGTCAAATTTTAAGGGCGGGATGGATGGATCGAACGGGCCTGCCCGAGATAGAAAAAGAAAAAATTACCCTCCAACAACTTATCCATCCAAGAAACCATAAAAACATTCCCTTACAAATTGGTTTCTTAGGAAAAAATATTTCTTTTCACAAAACAATACTTTTCGTTGTCTGTAATACTTTTTGTCATTAATATCTCTATTTATGTATAAATCTACTCCCCTTATTCCACAAAACCCTTCTTTTTTTGTTTTTTTCAATTACCTAAAACACTTTCACTCTATTAAAAACTTACTTTTACCCCCATTTTTCATAACCAACTTATCGCATCATTCTTTTTCACTAATAATCAATCTATCACATCTTACTTTTACTCATCACATCAAGGGCAAAATTGGAAAGTTAACCAAAATTACACTTTTCTTATTTTGACCCAAACTCAATATGGAAAGGGTTTAAAGGAACGGATGGAGTATATATGATACTCCGTAAAAAGTTAAATATGTCAAAAATACTTCCTCCGTCCCATTAAATCTTTCTCCTTTCTTTTTTTATTCGTCCCACAAAACACTTCTCATTTCTACTAAAAAGTCACTTTTACCCCTTACCTTTTCATACCCTAACTATCACATCATACCTTTTTACTAATAATCTATCCATCAAATCATACTTTTACCCATCACATCAAAGGACATTTTTGGAAATTCAATACCAAAATACACTCCCCTTAAATTTTTCCTAAAAAGCAAAAGTCTCATGTTTCATGGGACGGAGGGAGTATATTTTAAAATAAATCTATTCATATTAAATTTATATGATAAATCAGTGTCTTTTTCTGTAATTTGTGATTTGAAAGTTTAAAAAATTTCACCAAACTGACCCACAATATTAAATTTGTTGCCGGCCGGCCGGCCGGCAATGGAGACAGCAAGTGGAGGGTTTTGCAGAGAATCTAACGAGGCAACTCAGTGAAAACCTGAAACGCATTCATGAGATGGGAATCCCAAAAGTAGCAGTGACCGCTATGGAGCCTATGGGTTGCCTACCTGGCCCTGCTTCTTCTTCATCAAACTGCAACAAAATTGGCAACCGCATCACCAGGTTTCACAATCAACTCCTCAGACAAAGGGTGGACCAACTCAACCACCACTACAGCAGCCGACCTTTCGTCATTCTTGATCTCTATGCCGCCTTCACCTCTGCCTTGAACATCCGGGACGACCGCCCCGGTAAGCCGCCACGGAAGACACTCCTCCTCTACAATGTTCCGTTCGTAATATTGATATTTTCTAACCCCGTAAACTCTGATCTCCAACTCCGTCTGGACCCCAACTTATTCATTCCTCTCACATACGTCAATTGCACAACATCGTAAGTTTAGTTGACTTTGAAAGTAAAAAACAATTTAAACACAAAATCAACTAAACTTGCGGGTATAATTGATGTGGGTACGAGATGGGTTGGGGTCGGGACTGCGTGTGGCATATACACATACATAGAAGACACTAATATATGTGAATTATTGAAGCAAAATGCTTAAATAATGCAGGGAAGAGTAGCTTCGAGGAGCCATTGATGCCATGTTGCAGAGGGATGTGTGGGGTGGTTGACGAGAGGGGAAACAAGGAATACACAGTGTGTGATGATCGGAGAAAGGCATTCTTCTTCTGGGACGCCGTGCATCCGTCACAGCAAGGCTGGCTTGCCGTTTATTCCGCCCTGAAACCCTCTCTCCCCGCCCTCCTCTTCTCTCCCCACTACTACTCGCCGCCGCCACCGCCACCACCTCATGCCTTCCACTATTTAATTTAGTCATGACGACGACAACCTTAATTAAACATGCAAAATAAACTGATGAGGGGATGGTTTTATTATGAACTACCTCAAGTTGGATGGATGTTCCTATGTGTTCATAATCATATCTATTATTGGGAGATAATAATTGTGGGTTAAATTATGTTCAAATCCGATTGAAAACCCCCTTCCTTACAACTTATTTTTTCTTATTCTTATTAAAATAAGATCAGATCAGACCAGAACAGATCAGATTAGACCAGATCAGATCCCATCAAGAATTATTATTATTATATTATTATTGTTGTTCTTGTTGTTGTTCTTAAAAATGAAAAAATAAACTTTAGAAACAAGTTAACTATAAAACTGAGAAAATAATACTCCTTCCGTCCCAAAAAGTCTTTCCTGTTTAATTTTTGCGCGTCCCATAAAACACTTCGATCCCGTCTTGAATGCCAAAAAAACTTTCAAAATAACTTCTACCCACAATAAAGAAGAAATGTTGTAAATTTTAGGCATTTTAGATGTCGGTAGAAGTGTTTTATGGGATGTGCAAAAAATGAAACAGGAAAAACTTTTTGGGACGGAGAGAGTACTTAATTATTAGACATCGGAAAAATTATATTTAAAATACATTGACAATGTCAATCTAATTATACTTTTAACATACATTTTTATTGCTACCTATAATTTGAGTTTCTAAAGTTTTGATTTTTTATAAGGATGAGATATTTTAATAAAAATAATATCTTTCTATATATTGATTATCTAAATTTAATTACTTTTTAATGTATATATAAAGTAAATATTTATTCTAATGTATATATGAAGTAATTATTAAAATATAAAATTAATATTCTAATTTCACAAAAAAATAATCATAAAATTAAAAATATTATTACATTATAATATGAATGATTATTCTAAGATATGAATTAACTAGTTTTATTTTATTAAAAAATAATCATAAAATAAAAAATATTGATTATATTATAATATGAAGTATAATTACATTTTTCAAACTTTATTATAAAGTCAAATCAAATTATTGATTTGAATTTTAAATCAAATCATAATTAATCATATCAGAACATATCAGATCAGATCCAATTAGAGCATATCAGATGAGATCCAATCAGATCAGATCGGATCACACCAGACCAGATCAGAACTACAAAAAATCAGATCAAAAAAAATAAGTTGAATGGAACGGAACCTAAGTGACCCTTTCATGTGTAATATAAAAAAACTTCTTATTAAGTTATTATTATTTTTATATATATCCACGAGGTTTAATTTTGAAAAAATTAAAATTTGCACTGAATAAGACTAAAACATAAGTCATTTTCTAGTGTATGACTTAAACTTTTTTATTTCTTAAATAAGACTTAATAATGACTAGTGAAAAGAATAATGTCTAAGTGATGCTGGACATTTAGTTGAATAATGACTACTAGATAATGACCAATGATTCTACATTGGAAAATAAAAATATATGGTCCTATATTGAGAAAGTCATTATGTTTTAGTCCTATTTAGGTAAATTACCCAAAAAAAATGCTTCGAGTATATTACGGAGTATTGGGAATATTAGATATACTCCAGGAAATATAATATTATTATATATTATCTTCCTTATTTTATTATTTCCTTATTGTATTGTTAAAATAATTCTCATCCTACTATCGTCGATTAGAATTCTAATCCCTATATAAATAATGTATCCTTCAATATTTTATAAGACTAATTATCATCAAATTGTATCATCGTATCAGAGCTAAGATTCTCAAAAATCTAATTCTCCTTTTTCGGCCGAATACATCGTCGGTCTCTATTCACAACCGTTGATCGTCTGACAGTATATATGGCGTCACCGACCAATCTCGGCGAGCGTGTCCAACAGTCGCGATCTATTATCCCTCTCTTTCTCTAAAAAAATCAATTATTTCTCTCTTCCAAAAAATGATGAGTGTGATCGAAGAAAAAGAAAGGTTCATTTGTTTGTGTTTTTTAGATACCGAGAGCATGAAAAACGATAGAGAAGCAAACAACGGCCCAAAAGGAGAAAAAAATAGAAACCGCTCGCCATCGCTGCAATCGCCAACATTCTCACCGGAAAAAACTCAACAAGATTAATCTCAAGTTTCTTCGTCATGCAACAAAGATCTGGCTCTCTACTTCTAGAGGCTATCCTCACAAAACTACTTCTGCCGGCTCAATTCCAGTACATGTGCTCCAAGCTACCCTCGTTACCGATGATCAACTTGGGAGGGAATATTAGAAGCGTGAAATGTCAATTTTTTATAATTTATAAAGGATTTCGGTGTAGGGACGCCCCCAAGTACCTGACCGGCTGACCGAGGATATTTCGAGGACAGGAAGCGTAGCATGTTTGAAGAATAGGTGCAACATAGATGCTAACTCGTAAACTAAAAAAATTGATCACCAATTTACCGTGAGCATAGAGCTTTTGTATTTCATACAGAGAACATATTATATTACTCTCTCGGTCCTTAAAAACACGGAAGGTTTTGATTCTTAAAAGATTTAAGGAGAATGCATTTTGGTGTATGTTGAGTTTTCCAAAAAAACATTTTAGATGTGATGGCTAAAAATAGAATTTGATGGGTAGATTAATAGTGAATATATGTGACGTGATATGTAGATTAAGAATTAATATGGATAAAAATAACTTTTTAATAAAAATGAGAAAAATTATTTGGACGGACGCAAAAAGAAAGGAGAAAAGTTTTCAGTGAGGGAGAGTATTTGTAATAAATTTTTCTTTTCTTATAAATGTCTTTTTTTGTGCTTAATTTAATAGCCAACCACACTCCAACCATATTTTAGCGGAATTAATAAAAAAAATGTTAAACTTATTCAAAAAATATATAAACTTTTCACTTATGGATTTGAGTTTTTATTTTATTTTTTTTACTGAATTATGCTGGAATAACATTTTATTAAGGATTTAACCGAAAGAGTTTTACACCCACGCACAAGTTCAACCAATATCTAAGTTCACATTTGAAACCCTAAAATAGTTTCTCTGAGCAGAAAATACAGTAACAAATTAAAGAAGAAGATGAGACATGGAACAAGGTTCAGGCCAGCCGGTCCGGTCCGGTCCGCTAGATTCACCTCATGGAGCCAGTCCCGCTCCTACAGATCAGAAACGTAGTGATCAGATCAGATAGGGGCAATAAAAGGAAAGTAATTAAAGATTAAAAGCGCATTTAATTAATCACAGCTCACTAACCATTCATAATGCATGCATTTGTGTGTTTTACTGCCTCCGTAGTAGGTCGATAATTTCGTGCTCCACCTGAGACATAAAATAGTATTCGTTTTATGATGTTTGACTGAAATTGTTTTTAAATAATATTCGCTTTATTAGATGCTACGCCGTATTTTATTGTGTTGAGTACTTGTGTTTTAAAATTGGCATTTCATGACTGATAATGCAAAATTTGGAGTGTATTTAGTATATAAGGAGTATATATTTATACATTTCAAAACCTAATTTTAAGAATATTAGATATACTACTCATCAAGAACCACGAGCCTCCAAAATATCGCATTCTATAGCTACAAAATTGGGGGTCGTCGGGTGCGTGCGTGCGTGCGTACCTTTATTATATTTTCCATTTTGGATTCGAATGTATTCTTTTCCCTCTTGAGATGTTCCACTAACTCCGTGCAGCTGATAGATATATATATATATATATATATATATATATATATATATATATATATATAGAACATATCGTGAATCGTGAGAATTCAAGAATGAAATCAAAACGAGAATGAGACGACAAACTATACGTTTAATTTATGCATACACTTGGAGATTTATTGGTACGATTTGACGTAATAATTAATAAACGTTTTAAAAATATTAACGTTTAAGTTATTCTATTGGAAACGAAAAAAAGTCAATCTATATGGACTCGTTTCACGACATAGTAGTAAGTAAGTACTTTGTTAGATAGTCGCAACGCAATTTCGCGCGAATTTAGAAATTATTTAATACTTCCTACATCCTTGATTAAAAATTAGGGAGGGATTTACGTGGTAAAATGAAATTCTCTCAATTTATTTTATTTGAAAATTAGTTTTAGAGTAAAAAAAAAACTTCCGTGATTAAATTAAATGTTATAAAAATTTCTACAAAAGAGCTCTATGTAAAAAAAATCATTTACAAATAGACAAAAAAAACTAAATACAAAAGATGGGATAAAATAAATAAAAAGATTCCTTACTCTCTCTTGGACTTCTTAAGAATGGCTTGAATTAATTTGCAGCAAGCTGAAGTCATCCGGCAAGCCCCAATGCTGCATATATATTTGTATGTACAACGCACAATACTATAATTTAATTTTATTTAATTTAATGAGTGTACCAAATTATATTTAAATTAATAAGAAAAAGAAATGATAGAATAATACTTAATAATTTACCAGGCAGAACTTCCTTTGAGCTTGATGCAAAGCTCGTGCAATTTTTCATAGTCAAGAATTGGATATTCTCTATAATAAATCAAGTGGTGAATCAAAAAATATATGTGTGTTCTTGTGTGTGTAACATTTTAAAACCACGAACAAACACATTGAGTACGTACTTCGTGACAGTTTCACGCACTTACATAATATCGATCATATCATCTAGAGTAGAACCACTGTCCGTGAGAAAAGTAGCAATCAATTCGACGAAGAATGTCACACCAGAAGTGTACTTCAAAGAATGGCACATCTTGAAGTAGGAATCAACATAGCCCTTCACCCACATTAATTATCATCACCATTCCAAACATTATAAATAAATAAAACCCTAATTATATGTTCAACCTTTTTAACTAATAAAGAAAAAAACAATGAGATTATGAAAAAGTACCGGAAGCAAAAACAAAAAAAAAACCTTTTTAACTAACTTGAACAAGCGAATAGGAATGAAGAGAATTATTAATACTTGATGAAAGATTATCAGAGGAAATTAAATAAAACTTGGAATGAAGATGAATTAATTTTAATAAATAAATTAATTACATGTTGAACCAAAGCATCAATGTGAGTATTAAGCTCTTGATTAAGGATATGGAGGTCCATCTCCCCTCTCATGAGGACACCCGGCATATAAGTGGATGGGGTTACTAATTAAAAAAAAGATAGAGAAAGAGAGTAAATTAAAGTTCATATATATAGTGTGTGTTTTGTGGTGTTTTCCTATGGGATGGTTCTCTTCGTTCTAATTTAATGAATTATATATGTGTGTGTGTGTGTGTGTGTGTATGTGTATATATATGTATATGTATGTATGTATGTGTATATGTATGTATGTATGTGTGTATATATATATATATATATATATATATATATATATATAAAGATGGGTATTTTTTGGGTTGTCTAATTAAGAGAGATAAAGGAAGACATTAGACATGCATTATATACCTCACAAATAATTATTGTAATCTCTGTCCGTTAAACTCACTGTTTTTTTGAGTGATACTAACTTTAACGTTAAACTTTAGCATTTGAAAAGTTACCTAGCAATAGGGAGGAGTTTGTTTGTTTTGCACCAAAGTTTATACTTGGCAATAGAGTTTTAAATTATGTTACACATCATTGCTTTGTGCTAAACACTTGAGGCGATGTCAACTCTTCTAAAATGAATTGGTGTTACAAGATGCACATGCATACCTTAGCTAGTCTTATAGACCATTCAACACGCACGAGCATCCACGGCACTCGAGTGTGACTTGGCTTACATAGGCTTCGTCACGTGACGACAAGTGTTGCACACATTGCCAATAATCTCCCCCTCAGCAATTGCTCCCGCTAGGACTTGTCACCTTGGCTCTGATACCACTTATAAGACCTTAGCTCTACCAACTCTTCTAAAATAAATTGGTTCTAGGAGATGCGCGTACCCTAGACTTATAGAACATTCATCACACACAAGCGTCCACGTCATTCGAGTGTGACTTGAGTTTCATAGCCTTCGCCATGAGAAAATTAATGCACAAAAAATGCCAACAAACATTAGCTACCAGTGTGTCACATTATATAACACATGTCTATTTGGAGATCTTACGGTGCTTCATGGTCGTTTCCAAATCCCACTCCCATAACCCCCCCGGGTGGTAATCCACACTCACAATCTTGGTAGTGAATTAATTTTCATTTAAACCGAGTGAAGAGAGTTAGACGAGATATGATTTACTTTATAATATATCCATCAAATCATACTTTTACCCATCACATCAAAGGACATTTTTAGAAATTCAATACCAAAATACACTCCCCTTAAATCTCTCTCCAAAACCAAAACTCCCATGTTTTTCGAGACGGAGGGAGTATATTTTACTCCAGCCGAACTAACATTACCGTTCTAGTTTGATTTTTTTAAGTTGGTAACTCTAACTCTAAAATTAATGTAAATCTAATTAATCGAATTAAATTGTAAACTTAATATAATTAACTAGGGTCTTTTTTTGATATAATTTTGAAATATCAAGCTTAATTTTTATTTTATTTATTAACTTATAACTATATTTAATTTATAATGAAATATATCAAAAAAGTCAAACTATGACGGTAATTTTAGAAAGGATGGACTAGTCTTATCTAAGAAAAATTACATTATATTCTAAAAAAGGATGAGCCCCATTCCGAGGGTCCCCTCAGATCCAGCTTGACGGTCACTGAGATGAGGTAAATTGGATTTTAATCGCAGATTAGTGGAAAAGAGTGGAGTCTGGTACTTGCAGAGACCTTATACTTGGCATAGTTGCCTCTCAGTGCAGTTGACAGGAATCGAGCTCAGGTTTCACCTCCTTGACACCTCTTGTCTTTGCCAACTGTGCAACGCCCACCGACAAATAAATTAGGGGGTACATTCTAAAATGGGATTGTGGGGGTGGGTGTAATCATTGTAATTTAACTCTTGGTTGGATGCAACGGTGAAAAATATCATGCTACCTAAAAATGGAAATGATGATAAAGAAAATGAGTTTCTCATTTGTCATGCATGCAGTAAAAAAATGTGATGTGAGAAGAATGCTTCGAGTAATTATTATACGAGTAATAATCTGTCGGTTTAATGTGATAATTAGTATAATTACCCCGCGCGACCCTAAAAGAAAAAAAAGGTGAAATTTGTACTGAATATGACTAAAACATAAGTCATTTTCCAATATAGGATTTAAACTTTTTTATTCCCTAAATAGGACTTAATAACGACTAGTAGGAAGAATAATGTCCATGTGATGCTGGACATTTAGTTGAATAATGGCTAATAGATAATGACCAATGGTCCTACATTGGAGAATAAAAACATATGATCCTATATTGAGAAAATCATTATGTTTTAGTCCTATTTAGGTAAATTACCCAATCAATGCAACAACTGCAGTGGTTAACAAGCAATATTCGAGTTATTGCTTTTAGATCATCTGTGTCAAAAAATGATATAGTTGAACACTCTTTATTCAAATCCCTAGTACCAAAAACGATTTCTTCCCAAACCTTTTAATTCATTTTGCTCTATTTTTGTCCTTTAAAACAATATAATCATCTACCCCTTCGTTAAAATAATAATCATAATAATTACTGCGTACAATTTAACTTAATTTTCTTAATCAAATATTACAATCTTAGATCACTAATTCTAGAAAAAAGTATATTAAGGGGCTTGTTGTTTCAGGCTCTTAATGGTTCAGATGTCTGAATGGTTCAGACTGTTTGTTTCAGCCTCTTAATGGTTCAGATGTCTGAATGGTTAAGAGATTTGCCTCTGAATGGTTAAGTATTATACAGAGTCTGAATGGTTAAGACCTCTTATCTGAATTGATCAGACATTTGCCTCTGAATAGTTAAGCAATATACTAGCTCTTAATAGTTCAGACCTCTTACTGGTTCAACACTTAATGGTTCAGACCTCTTACTGGTTCAGCACTTACCGATTCAGAAGTTGCCAAACAGCCCTAAATCTTGATAAATTTAGTACGCAGGGCGCAGTTAAAAGTAATTTTGTTTTGAGTAAAAAAAATGATAAATGGCCCATGCAGGTTTCGAACCTGCGACCTTCGCGTTATTAGCACGACGCTCTAACCAACTGAGCTAATAGGCCAGTTGTTTGTCACGACATGCTTTTTTATATACGGAGTATATCATTTAACACTCATTAGTTGGACTCCCCATTTTACCAGCGGCGGGCCTTGTACAAAAGATTTCTTTCTCGAAACTCTGATAAATTATCTTCTAGTTGAGTATTTATAGGGTCAAATTTTTCACTTTATTGTCATATTTTTGTTATACATTTAATAGAATAATATAGTCTCACCACATCTAGTTTTATAGATCTTTTAATGTGGTTTTTAAATATACAATTTTTGTTTTTTAATTCCATACCATTTTTCATATAAAATGGTTTAAAAATAATTTCAGCCAAACATCATAATGTCCAACGAAAAGAAAAAACTTTTCGATGAAGGGGGTACAATTTTAATTCTTTAGAAAAAGAATATGGTTGGTAATGTTAGGGCTACTTCATTTATACACCAAAGGATTCGCACAAAGATACAAACACTCAACGTTTGTACAATGCAGAGACATTGAGTATTTCTGTGTCTTTGAAGCTTTGGTGTACAAATGTGGTATCCCACTTGGGGTACATCTAGCATTATCCAAAGAATATTTGTGTAATGTCCCTATGTCCGTCCCTTTAAAAACTTTTGAATTGATTTTCGGGATAGATGAGGTAAAAATACTTTTTAGTCCAGTCCAAACTAGTTATCTGACTTCTTTACTTTCTAATAAAGTCAATAACATGTAATGAACAATATTTCAATTTCCTCTTATCAGATTTTAACCTTTAATTGTTTACTTTTCAATTTTTCTTTGTAAATTTTGTAAAGTCAATTGAATTTGAACACTTAATTTGAAATGGAGGAAGTACTCATTTTTTTGGGGTGTCTTAAAAAGATAAGTATAAAGTAATTTTTTGAGTATTAAATGGTCAACTAGTAATTAGTAGTATTCCAAATACCTCATTCGATCATATTCAATTTATCCAGTTTTCCTTATCAAGCCCTTCATCGAAATTAATTTTTTACTTAATCAACACACTCCGTTTTTAGTAAATTAAGTATTGGAAACTACGGAGTATAAATGTATAATCTAAACAGCATACTATTATCCTTCTCACCAATGAATGACAAATTTATATTAAAAGAACATTTTATTATTTGGGGGTGGCTCATGGGATGATCGAGGGTTCTACGATGCCCCGTTAGTAAAATAGATGATTCCTACTTCAATTCCACCCCCATCCCGCCATGACACGACCCCGCTCAATTCCACCCTCCAAGTTTATTTGACTTTGGAGGGTGCAATCAAAGGGGTTGGTGGTGGGATCGGGCCGGGGAGAGTTTGCCGTGGGGGCGGAACGGGGGTAGGAACCCTCAAACCATTACACATTACACAAACCATTTAAAACAAACAAACAAAAAAATTGGTGTATACTAACAGTATTGTAAATTAAAGGTTTTCTATTTAGAAAACTAGATGTTAAAAATAAAAAAATAAATAAACCAAGCCAAAGGGTAGATGTACAATAGCTACAAGTATCTTTTACTATTTTTTTTAATTTCATTACAAACTTTTACATTACTTTTGTTGAGTGTAGAGTTGATGCATCAGGAATCAATTCATCTTATACATACATTGTAGTATTAATTTACTCCCACATTGGGTAGTTGTCTGTATTCTTCAAGCAAGTGTGGAATATCATCCATCCGCAACTGAAATTCATCCAGAAAATATCATATAAATATACAAGAATAAAACGACGAGGAGCGAGTTGACAAATGCCAAGACACTCAGGCTCCGTTTGGTACACGGAATTGGAATTCGGGACTTCAATTCCAATTCTGTTGTTTGGTAACACAAAAATATGTGGATTTGGAATTGGTAATGCAAAAAATGAATCAGAATTGGAGAATTCAATTCCATCCAATTCAATCTCATAGAATTTCAATTCCAATTTAGTCAGTTCCATGTACCAAACGGACCCTCGTATATCTAAAACTCATTATGTCACTACGGGCGAGTTCTATTTGATTTAAGGCTGGAAGTACAAGTTGATATAACACAATGCCATTTTGATTGCACGAGGAATAGGAAGCCATAAAAAAACACTTACCTGATGAACATCTCTGATGTGATAAAATCGATAGATCTCCTTTCTGAGAAGGCCGGGATCCAGCAACTGTAAAAAAGATTCAACATTTTGTCTGCACAACGAAAGACAGAAAGTGGGCTCTACGAATCAGTAGAGCTCAGCAAAGTCTTATCATTTTTTGGCTAGAAACGCGATTTTGAAATCAAGACAAAGCTGTTTAGCTAGGGCCTGTTTGAATGGAGGGGTTTGGAGAGAAATGCTTTGGATGGTGTGGTTTATATAAACAACAACCCAGTAGGAGACGTTTTCTCTTACTTTTGACTTAAGGCAACCAGCCGCTGATAATCTCTTAGTAATGGGCCAAGTTCCTTCAATTGAATTGATTTTGGCAAAGCATTCCTCCAGTGCTCGCGAAGTACTTGTGTAGCCTTCAACCAGAAAGATACTAATACTGAAAATAGAATCAAGTGAATGTGTTGTGTACAAGTCTGTACACATATATGCCATGTACTGAGAATATTTAGAAACTCATGGTCATTAAACCAAGAAGGTGAACCTGTTTGCCGTCTAGAGCCCCTCCAACCATCTGAGATGCTAGTTCAATAAATTCCCTATCCTCTGCCACATCGACCATTCTCTTTGGATTTGAAAGTGAAACAGAAAGTTGTAGCCTTTTCTGCAATTCCAAGACAGAAGATTCTCCCCTGCGGCTTTCCTGCAGAGTACATAGAAAAACAGGAAAAAAATTATTTTTTGGTATTAAAAGCCCTCCCATTTACATAGATCTTCAAAGGACACAAAACGGCACCTACCCTTCTATAAAGTTATTATCTCCTCCATGAAATCATAACATTCTGAGTGAAGATAGGTTCAAGTAACATCACATATAAGATAGAATACTTTCATGCAGAAAAGAAAATGTTTGTTTCTTTTCAACAATGTAATACTCCTCCGTCCGGATTTGGTTGTCCACTATCTTATTTGACATTTTAACTCATTCCTTAAAAATAATATTTTTTTAGAAAGTGGACAACTAAATCTGGATGGAAGAAGTATTTATTTACACTAAATAATGGCTATAGGAGGACATATGGCTTGATTGAGTTGATTCTGAGAACAAGACAATTTACGAAGACAAAATAACTGAGGCAAAATCTTCAATACCTTGTTGTCTTCTGAAGGGAATTGACTTCGCGACACGGCAACAAATTCGTTTTCGGTGTCATGCCTAGAAGGAGATGTTACCTGCTTTGCAATTGGATCCTCTACAACAAAGGGATAAACATGTAGAGAAGCTTAATTCCAGGGTAGACAAGTACACATCAATTCTTGAAGGGTATGTTTGGATCTTGAAAAATGGTGGGGAAAGAAAAACATTGCTATGAAGAGTTTAATTTCTCGTGTCTAGTTTTACCACTGAAAATGCAAAGAAAATGAAATATGATTATGTTTCAGATTGTTTGGATATGAACCAAAGTTTTACTTTCCGAATATTTTCTCTTTCAAAATATCCCCTATGTTTTAGGTCCTACTTTCTTGCCTTGGCATTCTCTGAGTTCCAGGCAGGCCCAAGAGAAGTGGAAAAATGAAAAATAATCAGAAATCTATGAGTGGGGTAAAACTGTAAAAGTGTTGTGTCATTAATTTCCAATACAAGCCATAGCTCTTCAGACACCATTTGTGGTACATCCACAAAGTTTAGCTACTTCTTTAGTTCTTATCAAGGTGTGCCTACTGCCTAAGCACTTGACTGGGCATCTATTGATGTTATAATGGGCATCTTTTCAAGTCTCAAATTTCTTTTACAACAAAAAAAAATTGTACAGTTGTGTGGTACATAAGTACATTCCACCAATATATATATATATATATATATATATATATATATATATATAGAACACAGTTGTGTGGTCCATTCCAGAACAAAGTGACTAGTGAATTGGGGATGAAATGCAGTTTCAGAAGAAAATACAATTTTGCAGCAAGATAATCAGTAAGCATACTTATACTTTAAACTCAACCCTGTAAATGGTTAGGTTGACGAGAATGTATAATAAACCTAAGTTACCTAACTACTGGCATAATTCATATGGTTTCGTGTAAAGCAACTCCTTCCAACCCAAGTTGTTGTGCGTGTTTTCCTTTTCGATCTGTCCCAATTTATTGTGCATGGTTCCATTTACAGACTTACAGAGAGTATTTTGTGGTATTGTGGTTCATAGTATATCGTCTCCTCTACATAAATCTCAACCACAGCATTTTTGTTGCATATTTCTAACTACAAGGAGGTTGAGAGAAGAGCTAAGACAACCATAAGAAGTTTCTAGAAGATACAATGAGAGAAGCAGTTAACTTTTGAATACTTTAAAGCATTACATATCATTAACACTGATAGTAATAAAGAGAATGCATTATCAAGTATAGGGTTCATATAATACCGTGGAGAGAAATTTATTCATTGTTGACTATAGAAAAGAAGGAAGTAGCATGTATTATCTAACAGACAATCAAGCCACTAGAAAAATGATGAGTACCTTCTGGAACTAACCACCACAAATCACCGAAAGTTGATTTCCCATCAAAACCACCAAATAATAAAAACCGGGATCCAATGGATGTCATTGAATGGTAAGCTCGAGCATCAGGGGGATCGTTGTTCGTCGATAGGCGTCTCCATTGTACAGACACTGCATTCACATAAAAAGTTATTGCAAGAAGTGGTTCATAACAACTCCAAGCCATAACCTAAAACCTTGATAACGAAACTTTTGAGTTACATCCATTCATACATAGACAACAATAGGAGTAATTCATTTGTGAATTATAGCTCATAAGTGTGAGAAAACCCCTATTGTAGTATTGATCCATTTCGCTCCTTTATGTCATATTCTTGTGATTTTAAGTCACTTTTCAAGCTAAGGGTGTTGCCACTTTTTACGGCCCTTGGAAGACTACTACTATTGGGGTTGAGCTATTCACTACACCAGTTGCTTGTTTATGACCCAGTGCAGTCCCCATCTTTTGTCATATAAACCCAGATCCAAATGAAGAAAATGCATTTACTTGACGAAATGCCTCTGTCAGCTCTGTTGATTTAGGCTGACCAATCGACTCCAAGTACACACCACTGCAACCATTTGCTGAGGGGGGAATTCTTATGTGGTCCATATCTCCACAATCATTTTATAGACATTATCACATAAACAACATGAAAAAATTTGGCTTTTACAAAATGGAAATGATCTACTTGTAAACCCATGTAAAGTGTGAGAAGATCTACATTTCTCATGTCAACCTTAAGACCACAGAGCACAACTTTTGTTGAGCAGGTTAACTTGGCATATACTTGCAACCACTTTAAATAATGTTCCTCATGGATTTGATACTCTCACCTTACAACTTTAACCACTTTCCCTTGCATCATGTCATCTGTATAGCTGGTTTGCAATCAAAGGCCTAATCGGTTAATCATCTATGAACGGGCCAATGATAGCATTCACATATATGAGTAGCACATCATGAAAATTTCCAAGTTTTGTCGACTGCGTAACTTGTTGGTGATTTTAGTGTCTTCGGACAATTTGGCGCAATTGGATTTACTTAAGGTACGAGTTAGGAGGTGTGAAGTACACACTCATTCGATGATGTTATGACTTCAAAACCAAGGAGCAGGGGGTGTGGGGGCAGCCCGAGGTGGCGGGGTCCAGGGGGCAGAGCCCATGGCTGGGGTTGAGCTGCTAGCCCGGAAAATTTTAATTTTGGTTAGTGTTGCCTTACGGAAATTCGTCAGTTTTTTAAACGGCTTCCAAAAGGTACATGAAAAAAACAGAGTATTCGAATACTAAAAATTAGTATTCGGAGTGTAACTTCCAGCAACTTTAAATGAAACGATGCCAGTATTGGACTACTACATTGAGTATTTGAATAATAAATTTGCAGAAACATTGCTAGAGGTTCTTTGACCCTTAAACATTCGAATAATTTGCCAAAAACAATTCTGGCAGGTCGGGGGCACCTTAAGTATTCGAATACTATAAGGTAGTATTTGAAGGGCTAATAGTGATACTTACCTCTGTCCAGGACAATACAATCATTGTAATAAATGTCATAACGACTCAACCACCCACCAGTTCCATGCCCTCCAAATAACAAAAGCTGCATGAAGAAAACATTTCAAAATATTATTAGAAAGAGAACATGTTTGAGCATCACTTATAACTGAAAAACACAAATGGAAGTACAGAATTAAAATTTAGACTCCAAACTATCACAAAACATAGAGCAATAAAATTTAGAGGGTAGGGAATGCACTAACCACAAAGTAACGATTAAAGAGAACATATTTTAACTTAAAATGAGAATCCATACTCAAATTCAGAAAGTTTTTTGAATCACTGTGGATGTACTACAAGATGTCTACCCCAAATACGTGCCTGTTCTTATGCTCAAGCGCGTGCATGTTGATAAGTGTTTTTTCTATTTGAAAACTAATACACAATTCACAAAATCACCAAAAAGCAATGCATCAGCTCAATGTTATTGTTCTTAACGCTTGCTAAGACTTTAGCCTGTATTGGATCTTGGAATGAAATTAGGGTGAATTAAAATCGAATTACATTGTGCCCTCCAGATGTAACAGTATGGCCACAGCGAGGTGTTGGAGCTTGCCCTGGAAGTTTCAGTTGGGTCCATCCAGGTGTTTCACTATCTTCCATCAACACATGAGCATATACAAAACAAACATCAATCATCAGAACAGAAAGCAAATGTTGTATCCCCTAGTACTACACCTGATCCTCAAATCCTTAAACAAATCAGTGGAATCATGTCTAAGTGTTACGATCCTTTCTGGAATGAATTCTCCAACCCCAAACCATATTACTTAACCCTGACAACCTTGAGCCTATCTCCATCCTAAAAGAGCCGTATACCCTGCCCAGACTACCCCACTCCCTACTTGAGTCACTCCATCAAAATAACACATTTTGTGCCAAAAAAAAAAAACCATATCACACAATAAGTCAATTTCCTTTTTCATTTCCCTAAGCTAGGGCCGAAACACACCAAGCCAAACAACCATATTTCAACACCCAACATCCCACAAACATTGTCCCCACCTTGTCCCCTAGTACAACCGAAATAACAAGCACAACAAGCCAAGGGATATTTGTGATTACTTTGACCTTTAAACCACCATAAAAGCCACCCTATAAAATCCATATTTCTCACACCCCACTGTTCCCCACTAAGGTCGAATGAATCACTCCCCAACCACCAAATATTCACCTCACTAGCCAAGCCAAAATACCCAACACATCACCCATCCATTTTGCCCTCTAATATGGCCGAAAATCCCCTTCCATTCATGAATATTCATTCACAAATCCTTGTCCCCATTTTCCCTGATTTTATTCCATGAAAGGACTCAAGCANTTGTATGAGTGCCTTTAAATTTCGGCCATAGGCCTATTGTAATGCTCAGATTGTATTCTTCATTTCAAGATAGAAATACACTGGTTGTATTCTGTTTTCAAATCCTAATTTCTATATCTTAAGGTTGGTTTCCTTAAGTGTGAGTGTTAGGTTCTAGTATTTCATTAAGTGTGTTATATCTTAATTGAAATCTAGATTTCAACCCCAAGAAAGGATAAGAGTGTGTTATATCTCTTAGACCTCCTTGGTTTATCCCCGTTACTAAAACACTTCCTTTTTTTTCCTTGAAACTGCCCAATAATCGATTACCTGCTTGGAATAATCGATTATCCACTCACAAGAAACATCTGCAGTCACCAATAATCGATTTTCATATTTGTGTAAATCGACTATCAACCCCTTCAGAAGCTCTCCACCAAATCCTTTGAGAAACTGAACCCTTCCATAATCGATTATCTCTTTAGGTAATCGACTATCACTCCTTCTCCATCTAAAACCACTGTTTCCTCAAACAACCTACGCCCAGATCCAACATTTGGTATCAAAGCCTGTTGTTGAACATCTCTTGAGGCCATACAACACACTTCCAACTCTTTTCATTTCTTCTTTCATTTCTCGGCCTAAACTGCTGCCATAACTCTCTCCTTTCACTCTCTTCAATATGACAAACACTTCACCAAGCATCACCAATGAAGAGCTCTGGGTTTCTAATACCGAGCTCAAAGCCCAAGTAGAGTACTTGGCAAAACAGGTTGCTCAACTCACTAAGTTAAAAAGTAACTTGGTGAACGCTCCGGAAGAAAGTGATGAAGAAAAGGAAGAAGTTCGAGTAGAAGCTGATTTTAGTCACACTACTGGAGGAACTGCACAAGAAAAGGGAGCTACTGATTTCAAGGTTGACATACCAACCTTTGAAGGAAAGAATGATCCGGACGACTTTCTAGAGTGGCTGGAAACAGTTGAGCGTGTCTTTGATTTCAAAGATGTGCCTGAAGATAAGAAAGTCAAGATTGTGGCGTTGAAGTTCCGAAAGTATGCGTCCACTTGGTGGTCCAATCTTTCCACCAAAAGAAGGCGTGAAAACAAGGCTCCGGT